ACGTGATCAGTGCAGCAGTATGTCGAGTAAAAATTTGAGTCCACTATCATGTTAATATTAAAGTTTTCACTAAAATAACCAGAAAATTCGACAACGTAATTCTGCTACGAACTTTTTTTGGGCTCTAGAAGCTGCTCTCTTCTTCCTTTCGACGGCCGCATCATGCACACATCTTACAGGTAAGACTCTCGTCGGCAGCGCTCTGGCATTTACTGTCGCATTTTGGTACTCCGAAAAATCGAATATACTGGGTACAGCATCATCTTTTAGTTTTCTCCGTGCTTTTCCACCGCACAATTCAGCTCGCAGGTCACGTACGAAGCATTCCGGCTCGAAGTGGTCGCTACAGATCCTCGCGTGTTTTGATACTGTGCTGGGATTTTTTAACTTCAGAGAATTGAGCCAAATTTTACGTTTTGTGGCATCCGCAGGCAGGATATAATAGCAGATGTCTTTCTTATCGTTACCTACATTACGGCACCCAGGAGCAACACAAGTTTGCGGCATTTTGTTTTTCTGACACCTGGATGTTTAGTCACCTACTGCATAGTATATACTATTACTAGTACAGCTGTGGGAAGCTACTACCCAGGTTACGTCACTAGAAACTGACCAATCAGAATTTTCTCATCTAAATCTCATCTTTTCTCTCTAAAACTTAAAAAGAACAATTTTTTGACGTGGATTTATAGTTTTTATACTGTAAAAAAAGCAGTGAACGCTATGTGTTCCTAGAGCGCAGTAGGCCTTTNTTAGAAGTAATTTAATTTGTATAAATCCTAATTTCAAATAATGTGTATCAGTTGAAGGTAACAAGGTCATTAACCGAAGGAGACTAACTGCAAGTATGGAATACTGATAATCATGCTGAAAATTGCTTTTTTAACAAATTAAATACAACCTCCAACATTTATTTGGCCACAGAAAGGGCTACTACATGTAAATGGAACATTAGGTGAACTAACCTGGCATGGGGGGGGGGGAGGGAAGCAAGTGCACACTTTAGGACTTCCTTAAAACAATTCGATAATACAAAAGAATCATGAGTGAAGCATTTCACGTCAGACAAAGCCCAACTGGCCATTTGTCTTCAAACTGTTTCAAGTAATAGGCCAGTTCATTTTGCTACGGAGATGAAAATATATAATATCTAGCTTGGATTATTACTTTTTAAATACTCATGGCATTTTGCAATCAATCTGTCCTGCTAATCAAAACAAAAAAAACTCATTTTCCAAATTAAGAGAAGCAGCAAATCAATTCAATAAATTGAAATCATAAGTGATCAGAGATATATACTTACAAAGAATAGGTTTATGAGACAGCTCGTCCAGACTTAGGGGGTCATCAAACGTTGCTGTAATTGTTGTGCTGAAGTTGTACTCTGCAGCCACTTCTGCTGTGCATTCCACTTTGGGTGTCTCTCCCAGGGCTTTGTCACCAAATTCAACCCGTACCAAGGAGTTTAGGTTTTCTCCTTTCAATCCTCTCTGTATTTGAATAATTTAATTAATGATTTTTTTCAATAAAATGAACAGCACTTCAGGAAGGTACTACACTGGTAATGACATCACGTGAAAATGTGTGAAAGTAAAATGCTTAAATCTTGAAGTAAACATACCATTAAAAAATGTAATTTGCCATATAAAAATACATTTGACAAAAAATTACATATACTATCATTCTTTTGATCTGTATAAGTTTTCAATAACTATCACATTAAAAAAATTAAACGACTTACCAAATTTCTAGCTCGGAGAACTGTAATGGTAAGAGGCTCAGGAGAGCGAGTCTGGGGTACCTCTGAATCAGCCATTACTTAACTAAGGAGCAAAGATGAAAGACAAATAAGTTTTTGTTAAATGTTTGTGACTAGAACCTAATGTATAAGGGGAGAGATTTCAAAAAATCTGTTCTTTAAAAAGAGGAAAAGAGAAGATCTATAGCAAAGCTGTGCAAATATGCTAAGAAAACCATTACTGTAAATTATTTCATGTAATTAACATTTGATCCTGTCATACAACAAATCCCACAGTGAACAAATTCTTCAAGAATTGAGTTTATATCACCCAAGGTAGCCTATGAAGTCTCATAACTTGGCATAAAATCAAGTGAGATTTCAGCAGATAGGGAGAAAAGTGGGGTCATAAATAATGGTAGACTTCTGGGTGCAGTGCGGTAACAAATAGAAGCTGGCAGATATTATCAAGGGACATTTTCCTGGTTGGTTTCACTTAGGTTCTGTAGCTCACAATCTATAACACATCAATATGTATTGATTGTCACTTCCCTATTGCTTTCTAAAATGACGTTAATTCACATCTTTGTCATTAGGGTCCATTTTTCTGTAATCGGGCTCTATTAAAATGTCATGTCTGATGAGAGAGAATGTTCTTATGTATCCAGTAGAGTGATATAATACATGTACATTAAAGAAAAAAACCAATACTGGACTTAAAAAATGATGATGCAACAATTCAGTATTGCAATTGGCACCACCAATCTTGGATAGGATGATGAGTGTCAGTGACCTGATGGGCTGGTCATGTGATAAGTCAGATAACTACTATGTGGGAGAGAAAGATCGTTTCATACTGATGTTGGACAGCAGCATGCATTGTCAGCAAGCCAAATCAGATACTTATCCCCACACTGAGATAATTATTAACCCCACCCTTTTTTTATCACACACAGAAAAAGTGAGCAAATCTAAGTAAGTGACATTAACACATGACCAAAAGTGAATAGAACATATATATTCCAAGTCTCCTGCCAAACTTGTCTTTTATCTTAGGTAATTAAAAAGGTCCAACCTGGCAATCTGGTCACTTGGGATCAAATAATAATATATCAGTATAGTAATGAACAAGATTGTTTTAAGAATATGTGAGTCCTGCGTGGGAACGAGCTTTCAGCTGAGCAATGTCCATGTTTGGAGTTCATCCAAAGAGACCTGATGTCCCCAGGGTTACGTTGCAGTGTGATGTCCTTCAGGTCAATAAACTCATTACCACACAGGGGAGGGGAGGTCCTTTCTTTAAGAACTTTCAATTAGAGATAATTCAAAAATGTGAAAAGTTATGCCATTTTCTTTGGGAAAGATATGTGAGAAATCTTAGGGATAACAACAATTTTTGATACCAAAAATGAAAACTTTTTTAGGATCCTTTATAACAAATAGCCTTTTAAAGTTTTTAAAGTTATTGGTCCGAACTGTTTAAAGCATTTATTAACTATTACCATCATTTAAGGGAGACTGATATGTAAAAAAGGTCTACAATTCATAAAATAGCCTTTTCCTTGTTTCTTTTCTTGGAAAAACTTATCATAATATTATTGCAATTTAGCACAAAAACTCTCTTTTTCTTGCTTTATTCATGATCCACGTACTTTTGCACATACGAGCAAGCATTAATCTTCTATTTCCCTGTTTCATAATTTCTTGTGAGATTGTTATCAGTTTCCTATGTCACTCTGTAACTGAATAAGTTCTTATAATGACAGGGGCAGATTTAGGCCGTCTTCTGGGTCTTCCAGAAGACGGTCAGATTATCAAGTTTACATTGACAAATATATAATTTTTTCTGTCGGAAGAGGGTCAAAATTATAGAATGGATCAACAAAGATAATTTGGAAGACTGTCAGAAAATAGCTCTGGATCCCCCTCCCCCCTGAATGAAGTTGGCATGGTTGAAAACTAGGGTGTGAACTACAATCTGGTACCAGCATTTGGTTTAATTTTTTTTTATTTAGAAGAGTCCCTCATTATGTGTCCTATTAAACAAAGGCATTTCCCCTCTTTATGGTTAACATTTGAAAACTTGTGCTTCAGCATGGGTTACGTAAGAGCTTTTTTCTTCGGGTTGTTACAGTTATGACAAGTGTCAGGAAAGGGGAATCAAAGGTTGGTTTAGAAAAATACCATTCAACCTAGGAAAATCTGTTAAGTATGAGATATACAAGGGAAAATCTAGCATGTGTTTGATTTCACAGCAGCATAACTGGCAGAGAAGCATATGATTCTAGTACCTTATTCAAAGCTCTAATGATGGGAAAAACTGGTTGGCTTACAAGTGTGCAAGTTGAGGAGATGAGAGGTAAGATAAAAATTTGACAGCTCCCACATCATGGTGGATTTGCAAACAGGTTGCCATTCTACAGTTTTCGGGACATTATTTTTCATTCTTCTCCACAGAAGTACATATCAGAAACCGTATATAAGAGTGCTAACGCGTGAATTTTCGTACGTACCATGCATGAAAAAGATCGGTACAAATTTAGTCAGAAAGAAAAAGAAAATAAAAATAAAAGGGAACCCCACAAAGGCTACGAAAATGATCAAGCTTTTTTTTATTCCAAGAATATGAATATTGAGTATCTAACGATGTCCTGGACGGGTGATAACACTTCTACTGTTCAGTGCTTGGACTAGCAATCACTTCAAATTTGTATCAGAATTTGCGGCCCAGAATTTGTGTGGTGTCTGAGAGTAAAGTACCTGGGATGTTATTCATGAAAACGCTTTTCGTTATAACTTACCTTGCTTGCGTAAAAGACGACCAAGTTGTTATTTCAATAATTAAAAAANCCGAACTGTTTAAAGCATTTATTAACTATTACCATCATTTAAGGGAGACTGATATGTAAAAAAGGTCTACAATTCATAAAATAGCCTTTTCCTTGTTTCTTTTCTTGGAAAAACTTATCATAATATTATTGCAATTTAGCACAAAAACTCTCTTTTTCTTGCTTTATTCATGATCCACGTACTTTTGCACATACGAGCAAGCATTAATCTTCTATTTCCCTGTTTCATAATTTCTTGTGAGATTGTTATCAGTTTCCTATGTCACTCTGTAACTGAATAAGTTCTTATAATGACAGGGGCAGATTTAGGCCGTCTTCTGGGTCTTCCAGAAGACGGTCAGATTATCAAGTTTACATTGACAAATATATAATTTTTTCTGTCGGAAGAGGGTCAAAATTATAGAATGGATCAACAAAGATAATTTGGAAGACTGTCAGAAAATAGCTCTGGATCCCCCTCCCCCCTGAATGAAGTTGGCATGGTTGAAAACTAGGGTGTGAACTACAATCTGGTACCAGCATTTGGTTTAATTTTTTTTTATTTAGAAGAGTCCCTCATTATGTGTCCTATTAAACAAAGGCATTTCCCCTCTTTATGGTTAACATTTGAAAACTTGTGCTTCAGCATGGGTTACGTAAGAGCTTTTTTCTTCGGGTTGTTACAGTTATGACAAGTGTCAGGAAAGGGGAATCAAAGGTTGGTTTAGAAAAATACCATTCAACCTAGGAAAATCTGTTAAGTATGAGATATACAAGGGAAAATCTAGCATGTGTTTGATTTCACAGCAGCATAACTGGCAGAGAGGCATATGATTCTAGTACCTTATTCAAAGCTCTAATGATGGGAAAAACTGGTTGGCTTACAAGTGTGCAAGTTGAGGAGATGAGAGGTAAGATAAAAATTTGACAGCTCCCACATCATGGTGGATTTGCAAACAGGTTGCCATTCTACAGTTTTCGGGACATTATTTTTCATTCTTCTCCACAGAAGTACATATCAGAAACCGTATATAAGAGTGCTAACGCGTGAATTTTCGTACGTACCATGCATGAAAAAGATCGGTACAAATTTAGTCAGAAAGAAAAAGAAAATAAAAATAAAAGGGAACCCCACAAAGGCTACGAAAATGATCAAGCTTTTTTTTATTCCAAGAATATGAATATTGAGTATCTAACGATGTCCTGGACGGGTGATAACACTTCTACTGTTCAGTGCTTGGACTAGCAATCACTTCAAATTTGTATCAGAATTTGCGGCCCAGAATTTGTGTGGTGTCTGAGAGTAAAGTACCTGGGATGTTATTCATGAAAACGCTTTTCGTTATAACTTACCTTGCTTGCGTAAAAGACGACCAAGTTGTTATTTCAATAATTAAAAAATCGCAAATGCATTAAATTGCACTGTAACATCAGCTACACACTTGCTTAAGAAATGCAGATTTGAGTCTCGTCGCCATAGAAATGACCGGAAGTATAAAATGCGCAAGTACTAAATTTACAGGAAGTCATTATTTGTACCTCCAGCAGTAGAGAGCTTCCCGCAGGTCCTTTTAAAAAGAAAAGTGCCACTAGCATAGAAAATGCGTGCTGTTATTCAGCGAGTAATGAAAGCAAGTGTCTCAGGTGAACGTCAATAACAACATTATTATTTTAAATCTGAAACGATGGAAGGGATATAAAAAATTCTCTTCACGGCTTGGATTTGTGAAAACTTAGGGTGCTTTCCCAGAGATTTAGATCGATCTAAATATTAAGTTTTAGATCGACCTAACTCCCTGGGGGTTTAGGCTAAATTGCAGTCAGCCGAGCGGACACCATAGTTAATTACCCCCTTACAGCTTTTAGTAGGCGGGACAGACGCTTAAGCCGACCAAGCTGACAGTAATCTAGTGAGACTCCCACAGGGATAGATCAATATAAAAATCTATGAAAATGGGGTGTTAGAGACCATTCCCAGAGACTATCGTACTAACTTTGAATCGAACTATTTCCGAGGGGATTCTCGTTTAATGGCAATATTAACTTGAGCGGCTTAGATGTCTGTCACGCCTACTGAAGCTGATAGGGGGGTTAACTATCGTTTAGCAGCTTTAGTAGGCGTCCCAGACGTCTAAGCCACATACATTGTATATGAGCTGAAAGCAATTTGGAGAGAGACACCGTACGATCCTGTTAGATCGTCTTAGGGATGGGAACCCAGTCTTAGTTTTCCCATAGCAAAATAAAACAAATTGGAGGAATATTGCACCAAGGAGTTTGCGAGAAAAATTTTATTGCTGCTAATTTGCAGCCATATTGTAGCAAAATTGCAAGAAGGGACTGCAGTTTGCAGCCATATTGCACCCAAGTTTTCTGTAGATCTAAGCAGGCCTTGTGTATTGGTAAGGGTAGTTGTAAGGTGAAATTCCTCCATTTACACAACTCCAGTCAATTCCAGTAGAGGATCATATTATATATATATATGTATATATACATGTTATATATATGTCACCATCATTGTTACTGTGAGTATACTGTAACTCTGAATGTTGGTGTACAAAAAGGGATGCAATATTGTACACTGCAGTCAAGACTGAATTCTCTGCAGTCAAGACTTAAATCAGGCAGTGACACCAATGTTTTGATGTACTGGGTACATGAGGTAGTTGCGTCTTCGTGTATCTACCTGTGCATGTACCTTTATAAGATAACAGTTGAAAGGCTGTATTGTCCTGCATAGATTTCATTTTGAAAAAAAAACTCTTGGGGAAATTGGCTTAATTGTCATTTTCTTGGCAATATAATGGACAGGAAATTATTGATTCACAAGAGAAAAAAAGGACATGAGTAGCAATTCCTGTGATCCTAATTAGATTTCCCTCTTTTTTTCTGATAGTTTCTCAGAAGTAACAAACTAAGACATTTATAACTGGTAACTAAATAAACCTCAAAACAGGGATTCTGTATTTACCAGTATTTTGTACAATTTTATGAATACAGATTTACTTAGTTGGTTGGTAGTGACTCTAAAGTCAAATAAGTATTTTTTTTTTTTTATTGACAGCGACTCCAGTGTCTGATGAAAAAGAATTGTGCAAACAATCACAATAAACCATGTGGCAACTTGATTTTAACCATGTTATATTTTGCTGATGTTTATGGAAGTCATTATAGCCATTGTTACGAAAATTCATTTTAAATGCTCTATTGTTGTATTCCTTTGTGGCAATACTTTCCTACCCAAAAGCATTTTCATACCCTTACATATATAGCAAGCATGATTTTACTAGTTATATATATATATATATATATATATATATATATATATATATACTTTTTTCAATTGCACCATAGTTTTCTTTGAAACATTATAGGCCAAATGAAATTGGAGAAATTCTCGCAAATTATCTGTATTCCTATTAAGTTAATTGATTCATTTCCGTCCATTAGTGCTTCCTGTTTGTTTTCCAACTGCTGATTATGCCCCTGGCAGGAGCAGCTATTATGTATTAAATAAAGGTAAAATGCAGACAACTGAGTTTATTGAATCGATGCCCTTATCATTTGTTTGATATGGATTTGGGTGTTTAGGACATTTTCTTTTTGCTCCATGGTAGAAAGACAATCAGAATAAACTTCATTGTCAAACTACTTGATGGTGTCTTATGCTCAAGACACCATGTAGTACAATACTCGCTATTTCTGTTTTTTTATTCAGTGGATGGAGAGATAGTTAGTTCCATTGATCGAGGGCTTTGTGTCCTGCTGGGAATATCACACAATGACACACCTAAGGAGTTTGATTATATGTAAGTGGTTGATTTCTTTGGGAATATTTTCACAAACAGACACAGAGGCCAGAAGTAGTGGTAGTCTAACTGATATCACTAGACAGATTTTTATTGGACTTAACACAGGTAATCACAATTATAAATGATTCTTTTTATCAATACTGTATCCTGGTATTTCTCCATATTGATAAATCTAGGTCTTTTCTAAAAAGGGATAATTCAGTATGTTATTATACACATTGTGTTTATATAACACATGTGCATTTATTTTTTAAGGGTGAGGAAGATACTCAACTTGCGTTTGTTTGATGATGATCAAGGAAAACGGTGGATGAAGAGTGTTAAGGATAAAAACTTTGAAGTCCTCTGTGTGAGCCAGGTAAAAAGAGGTATTTATGTCTAGCTTGTCTTATTGCACAGAGTATGGGAAAATAAGGTGTGTTTCACCAGCCCTGTGTTAGCTGAAAATGGTTCATTAAATGATGCAATTATTCAAATGCACAAAAAAAATCGAGCAATCAGCCCTGTAACAATAATGTTTACATAACAATATTTTATTTTATTGATAGATTGATGGGAAACAGTTTTTGATAAGTATGTATGTATTTTTTATGTGATTCTTATTAGGTTTTTGCATGATTCAGAATTTAACTTGTCATGGGAGCAGATGTTTTCATCATATACATTAATGAACCTTAAATTAGTAGTGCTTCTCTGGTGTTCACCCATTATGCTTGTTAACAGTGCTTTAACGGAGCTTCGAATAGTAAATCTAGTTTTTGCGTGTCATGTGTAAATAGAATTCTTTTTTAGATCCAAATGACAAAACGTAAACTGATTTTTTTTTTTTGGTGATAAAAGTTCAACCTGACATCACAAACCAAGAGTTTTTATGCTGAATTACATATACATGTATCATGAAATAATGATATTAAGAGAAAAAGTTTTTTTTTTCAGTTCACTCTCTATCATGTATTGAAGGGTAACAAACCTGACTTCCATAATGCCATGGGAGGGGAAGCAGCTGAGGCATTTTATCAGAATTTCCTTAAAGAACTTGGAAAAGCTTATGACCATGGTAAAATTAAAGGTAAATGCTATAAAAATTCATAAATTCTGTTTGAACTTTATAAGTTATGTCAGAAACAAGTCTTTCGTCCTTATTTAGGAACAATGAATTGCAGAAATATCACATGCACTGACATTTGCCACTTCATTCTAGTGAATTTTAGTGGCTGTTTTATGTCTGGTTTCTATTGTAGATGGAAAGTTTGGTGCTTACATGCAAGTTCACATTCAGAATGATGGCCCAGTCACCATAACACTGGATTCCCCTGCTCAAACACAGGTATATAATTATTTTATCCAACTTGTACACACTTACCTGTTTGGTTACTTTCCTGTATCTTTTTTCTTTAAATCACACACGTATGCCAATACCTTTGCATGTGAACTGTTTATCAACAACTAAAATAAAGGATACCATTTATCACTGTAACAGCTAGTGGCCACGGATTGATGGAGGATTTTACTAGCAAACACATCCAAGTTTGAGATAAATCTCTGGATTTTAAATATTTAACAGCCATTGCCCTGTTGACCTGGTGCTCTTAAACCCCATTCCCATACCTAGATTGATCTAGCAGGATTGGTCCATCTCCGAGGGGATTCCTGCTAAATTGCACTCTGCTTATTAAGCGGCTCTGATGTCTGGCACCCCTACTGAAGCTGTTAGGGAGTAATAGACTATCGTTTAGCAGCTTCAGTAGGAGTGCCAGACATCTAAGGCGCTTAAGCTGAAAACTATCTTAGCGAGACTGTCCTAGGAGACGGACTGATCCCACGAGATCGATCTAGGTATGGGAATAAGGTCTAAGTTATAGAAAATGATACCAAATTTAACTAGATTTGAGTTTAGAATAGTATATTTTGGAATGAAAACATGTGAAGACTGAAAGGTATGTGCGGCAGTATTCTGGTACTTACAGAGCTTTAATACTCTACTGAAAGAGACTATGAATGTATGTTTCAACTCTGCTTAAGTGAGACTGGCATGTTTCTTCTTCTCTCTTATATGCCACATGTAAAGCTTAGTAACTAAGTTCAGGATCGGGCCTGTCAACAAGATGAAATATAAACTGATGATGTTTTGTTGACATTGTTCAACAAGATATTTTGTTAGCATTTTTTTGCAGTTATAAGTTTATCTCCACTACCAGCTGAATGTCATCACCATTATTTTGGTCATCATCATCATCATTATCATTCTACAAGTTGGCTCAAAAGAGGGACAAAGACCTAACAATTTTTATTGCAAATTTTGGTTGTCACTTCATTACTGTTACAACAAAATCTTGTATGCTTTTAGGAACCAAAAGGGGCATTGAAAGGCAAACAAAAACGGGAAAAAACTGCAGCAGCAATATCAGAATCCAGTGTGGCAAAGCAGAACACAGGGTCAGAACCTAGTCTGGCAAAACCAGGTACAGGATTAGAATCAAGGGGGATGGAAGAAGGGTCAGAAAAAAGTAGGACAGAAACAGGGTCAGAAACAAGTGGGACAAAAAAAGGGTCAGACCCTTATCAGACAAAACCAGAAACAAGAGCAGAACACAGAAGCAGGGACATTACCATTGATGACAGTGTAGATGAGTTAGCCAGTGAATTACACCAAAAGACCTAACATAGCCATCCCAACATAAAATAAATATTGAAGGAATTCGAGTGAATTGCACCTGAAAACAAGTCTTAATTTTGTTTTAATTATTCTGCTGGAACATTAATATTAATAAATTAATGAAATTAGGTAATTAAAAATTGTGTTTATTAGCTCATTTCTATTATGTGTAATCTTATGCAGAGAGAAAAGCATATATCAAAAGTCTACTTATTAGAACTGTATTCACAATTTAAAGGAACTCATAAATTCATTAAACGTATGAAATATTGCTTTTCATATCCAATGCCATCCAACAGTATTGATTGGATAGTGGCGCTGGTAAATGGACTACGTAACTGTAAATCCAGACACATACTCCATTTCACTTTACTAATTTTGCTAATTTCCTCTTTCAAAGATTTGTCTTGTAATGCCTGTTGTACTTTAACGCTGACACTCCACTAGATATTCCAATATATGATAGTCCTTTGTGGTAATATTTGTGAACCTCACCTTCTTAAGGCTTACCATCAAGTAGCAAGAATGATTGGCTTTCAATAAACTTTTAACCCATGATATGTTGTAAAATTGTGTTAAATGTATATGTAGCAATTCAGACTTCAAATTTATAGCCTAATGCGTGTTCAAGTTCTACGTCTAACCTGACTCGTGTTCATAGCACCAAAGTTATCTTGTATAGCATAACATCAGTCCACTTTGAAAATCATTTGAAGTAGAGTCACCTAATAATACCCTGAATGTGCATGGCTGACAATAACTCTTCATCTGCACCGATATTCACCAGTCGTTGCCATCAATTTGGACACCAAGTTTTCTGGTAATTTAACTCGATCTGGACTCTTCTTTGTCTGCCAGAACAATCGCTTTCTGCTTTCAATCTCTTTCTTCGCTTTGTCTGTTTTCAGTCGCATCACAGACCTATTAGCGCAACGATGCACTGCGAGTTTTGAATATGCACTCGCTTTGTCTATCCATGGGGAAACAATAACCCCTCAATGAAAAGATGAACTCCGAAAGACCTTTTAAACAATTAAGAAGACGTAAGTGCGCTTTCTTCAGTGTACCTTGGAGCAATGGTGCCTCATTGGTCTAAGATTGTACCATAAACCTTGTACGTTTAGAGACTTGGTAACATGATGTAGAAACAGGGTGAGAAATACAGGTATCCGCTCTCACGGGTAGGCAGTGTCATGAAAAGGCATTCCGGTTATAGGATAAACAAGAGACACTCGTTATTCACCAGACTTAATTTGTGAAAATGTACAGAGGTGGATAGTAATGATATATACGTATTGAAATGGGTTGTGGGCGATTCTCCACGTGGATCAAAGTATATCCGTGTAATCGAATTTAACGTTTGCGAGGACATCATTATAAAGAATAAATGATTCGCCGTATGTTCAGTTTATATGATAACCTCTTAACAGTCTCACGAATTCTCTCTCGTTTGAAATTATTTATGCACAGTTGTTGGCGGTTCTCTAAAAGGTTAGTCGTTCAAAAGGCAGAAGAGTCTCGTCTCTCGCTTTTTCTTTACAAATAAAGGCAAGGACAACAGACGCGGCTACTAAATATAGTTGCTCTTGTCTAGGTGCGCCCCAGCTCGAGAATACCTCAAATGTGGGCGTGTAATCTTCCTAACCTTGGACATACGGAATAAATCTTACAAGTAGGAATGTGGAATCTTTAGTGAAAAAAATTATTATTCTAGTTTAAAAAATCCGAATGAAACATTAAAGATATTGAGGGGTATACATAACACATTGATTAAGAAACGTCAGGCCAGGCACTGTCAATTGGATCTAGTATTGTGCATTATAAAATCCTGCTTTTTTGTTTTTTATGTATGTATTTGTTATTTCATTTATTCATGCATTTCGACATTTTTAGCTGCTACTGATCCTGCAGCTAGGTGTTGTTTCTAAAATAACACGTTGGTGTTTTCAGTTTTGCAATTTGAAAACTTGGAAGGTTTCTGTAAGACATTTGCGCTACATTTGTTCTAAAGTTTGTTGAGCGTTTCACCTTTTTTGTATTCTTAAGAAACGAGAGGAGCAACAGAATACAAAACTTGCGTGTCTACGCGCACAGTCAATATGTCATATACACGCCGGCTGGGAATAAACAGGATATTTCTTTTCATATTCACGGCGCGATTCAGGTACAGTCATCGAGCCAGACGTGTGGTATTAAATGGTATAGTCTGGAGCAACCCATCATCACTCAATAATTGTAATACGAATAGTGCGACCGCAGTAGTTTTCTATTTCGTCTTCTTCATTTCTTTGAAATAGGTGCGATCCGTTAAGAAAATGTGTTATTCATATCGACCATGATCGCCAACAGGAGAGATAGTTGACATATCCCATGCTACGGTCAGATTATAAGAAGAAAAGGCATGTGTCAAACGAAACACGGAAAGCATATTTACACCAAATGTTGTGGCGACCCCAGTGCTCAAGGTAATGCTGACTGAAAATCAAGCTTTTGGTTTGAATGCAGCACGAACTGGATCTGAATGGCATTTCAAGTGAAATTCGTTAAAGACCCAGGAGCCGATTTCCCACACGAAATATCCCACAAGCACCGTTTTTGCTTACTTTTGGTGTATAATGTAAGCACCACCTTTGCATGTATTCAAAGCGAGGTATCAAATTACATTTCCTAGATAAATGTTCGAGTTTGATTTTGGTAGGGCCTACGTCTGTAATTGTTTTCAATTTAACGCCATGATGAGAGACCTTCCCTGATATGACCTGAAATTGTGCCGCTCCATTTATAATTTCCAATAAAATTTAAATAAAATTGGAAGTGGTAATTGTATTCAGTGGAAAAATCACTTTACTGAAATTTAATTTTATTTATTCACCAGAAACAAATACTCAAAATGTTGCAGCTTCCCTCAGAAGAACTGGATATGTATCGAAAAGGGGAAAGGGCTATTTTGAATGCTAAGCTGTTTTCTATAAACTTGCATAGGTATTTGCTTGTATAATCGCTGACAAAACGCAATATATCAACTTAAATAAAAACAAAACCTAATTCCATATTATGTACCATGTTTTTTTACTTAATTCTTTAAAGAAGCCTACAGTCTTATTCACTAGTGGCAAGTCCATGATAGGCCTATCTTTCAGGCTTGATTAAATCAATACAAGGAAATAGGGCCTAAATACTTTACACAGCATATTCCCAAGGAAACTGTGATAAAATATGTATATCAATAAGTTCCGGTTAATCCCGGGAATTGGGAAGTAGTGCCAGAGCTAAAGAGCACAACAAAGGATAGTTATATCATTGCTTCTTTGAAGAGCACTTTCTAGCATGAGCATCATTTGTTATTTCCTCTGTCAGTGGTACATGTAGTTTAATTATAAATACAGAAGTTTTGACACGCTGGCGGCTTGGCTTAAATGTTTGTCATGCAATGTTACAGAATGATACAAAACTGCGTTTGGTTTAAAATGAATTTTACACCATGGAGTAAAACGAAACCATAAAATTTAGAAAAAAGTTACCGTTTTAACATGGACACGCCTTAAGTATATCATAAATTGAATAAGCAGATGATGAAATAGGAAATATCTACAGTACGTGAAATAAACATAGACCGATCTGGCCAAGAATCACAGTCCTAAGAGAGTTTTTTCAAAGCTTTTTCTCCCTGCAGGGTAAGAATGAACTCTCCGACAGGGTTATCTGTAGTTTGTTCAAATTAAATGAAAGTATTTTGGCTAATTTTATAACAAACTACAGAGACCTCTGTCGGTGGATATCAAGAATACATGTTCGTCGAAACAAATGCCCCGTCTCTTAAAACAATAATACACTCACATGTTTTAATGCGCCTGTTTTCTGTTAAAAAAAAGGTTTATGGTGTCAATCTATACGGATTTGTCTTGAACTAAATAAAACAAAAAATTGGATCTGATAGTCGAGGCAAACTTTTCTGTCTTCTGTTATTTTGTGAATCCAACCTCAGAATATTTTTTTTTTTAAATTGTGTTTGGGTAGGACAGCATACCCTAGAGAATGTGTGGCCCAAAAGACACGACCCCTTGAGGACATGAATTCCTTTCACGTTGACTTCCATGTTATGGACCTAAGTGATTGTTTACGCAGCGCGAAGAACAAAGAATTGCACATGATTTTTGCGGCCATACAAATGAGGTTATCTAGGGATATATCTGTGTGTTTTGGTCAGAAAGTTTTTTCTATTCTCTGAAAATTTAAGATTAGAGCTGTTAAGAAACTGCAGTGAATCTTCATACTTTGTATACCCATTGCTCATTGGTTGGTAACGCAATTATCCCTCATTTTGAGTCATGTGGTTGAGCTTTTTCCTTATCAAATTTGAATTTCCATCCTTAATACAGTTACTCAAACCGCGTTTAAAACTGTTTTTCGGAGAAAAGTGATGAGAAAAATATGTATAGTTCACTAAACAGTACAATTATATCATGCGCATCGGCCAGTATAGAAACCACTAACACCAAGATCCCATTAGTTTTAGTTCCACACAACGGAAGACTAAAATTCCCTGTTTATGACGAATACCTAATGCACCGTTTCCGCGTAACATCTTTTAATGTTGCATTCTACGATTGTCAAATTCAAGCATCAATTTCAGTTAAAATATTGATTTGAAAAGGTGTTCTAGTCACCAGCCTTCTCCCCTTCGCCTGCCCCACCCCGGGTAAATAGTCCGAATAGTAGGCAGAAGTGTCACATTGAAACTGCATAATATAAGACACACTGCTACAGATATACCGTGCAGTTGCAGTTCCTATCCACGCCGATACGTCGGATACGAAAGGAATAATATGCATGATAGTGAACACTTAACAGTAGATGATCAGAAGACGGCACACCGGACAAACCACGAGCAAGATTAGATGGCGGATAATGGATATGGCCATTGTTAAATGCATCATTAAAGTTGATTGCTGCAGTTCGATTCCTCTGACAGTTATTCAAATGAGTTGCTCGCGTCATTCCCGCGGCCTGCCTGTGTACATAAGCTCTGAATCTCGTAGTCATATCTCAGTCGAGAAAAAAGGGTTGAGACGACGGACCTGAGCAGCGCCACCTACTGGTGAGTTGATATGTTAACATTTATGTAATGCTTCAGAGAGAGAGAGAGAGAGAGAGAGAGAGAGAGAGAGAGAGAGAGATGTTGGTAATGTAGAAAAATAAGGATTGCTTTGGTTATCTTATTGCTGGGAGGAATTTAGAGTAAAGGATAATACAAATTATATGGGTGAGAGGGGTGTTAGAAGGAAAGAAGGAAATTTAAACTTTTTTGTATAGATATGTGGGCGAAACTTAGTTTTAAAAAAGAAACTAAATACAAGATAACGATAGAAATCAAACACCTATTTCTTAAAAGTAGAGAAAGGCGAATCGTTTCAAAAGGATAAATGATATTATTGTTTGTTGAATTTTTACCTTCCCTTTCGGTTTTCCTAAGATTTGAGATTCCTTTGGTAATCTTGAACTGGCAAGCAAAGTCAATGGAAATATTGCTGTTGTGATGAGTTTAACTTGAGAACACCTTCTAAGGTGGGAAAGTTATGGAAGAGTACACCATGTTAGCACTCTGTAGATCATACCTCATTTCCCTTCTTCGTCTGAATTTTACCTCTGTCTCATGGTCAGCTTTTAGATTGCAGACTAAAAGCGCCACTGCGAATGAATTCAACCACTTTGTCTGTAACTGGCATTTAAACTTATTGTGCTCCTGGCTTCTTCCCACGCGATTGCGATAAAGAATCAATTCCAATTGGTAGTCTTGAACTCGACTTTTAAGATTGATGCCAAAATAGAATTCTGTTGAGGAAATGTTATTCAAGTCAATCAAACCTAGTTAGCTATCAATTAAGTAATGCATTTGCTCTTTCTTCTGCTTTTTCACTAAAATCGCTCAGCAGGCAAATTCGAGCACGTCCACCTAAATCCCTCACATTCAGTGCACGCACATACAATTTATTTTTCTTTAATCGGCTTGACGACAAAAAGACGGGAGGAGAATATATGACTTGGCAATTGAAAAATAGAAAAAAAGATAAACCACATTCTTTCCTCAAAAGTAAGTTTTTTCTTCAGACACACGAGATTAGTATACATCTGACATATTCCTCTATTCCAAGAAATTTCTACTGCAGTTGGTGTCTGTGTTCAAAAGCATGGTAGGTAATTCTTTCTGGAAAGATTATCGAATTTTGTTAACGTTCTTCAATGAAAAGTTTTTTGTTCAATCAATGAATACATTGTGTTTCCATCTTTCTGATCCTCAAGTTACCTTTAAAAATCCATTGCTAAATCAAATCGCATGACTTTAAGGGTTGGGTACTTAGGAAAATAATTAAATCGTGACGGGAGTGTGCATTCTTAATGATTCCTGCATTACTTTATGTAACACGTTATTGGGTGGTCAATATGTAATAAGCAAAACACCAATAGTCTAATCAGAGAGTGAAGTACTAATCAATCACTTCACTTAAGATGTACATGACTCAAACTCCCACGATATCAGTAAAACTGTATTAGAGGAGGGCGATGTCAACAAAAATACAACTAAAATAATGCAAAAATAATAACAAGGGGTCTATACCTTTCTTATGCTTTCAAACAAGATTTTGGAGTTTACACTTAGACCTTCGTGTTCAATTATCCATGCATTATCTAAAATAAAAATGTCTTCTTGTTGAAAGCAACGCTTTTTCTAACAAATACTTGAGTCATTAATTGATTCAAGAGACCATAAAGTTTTTTGCAAATGGTTGCATTTACTTGATTGTGTATATTTATCATTTATGAATCACACCTTAATGAACCACACATTTTTCCATTGCTGTGTCCCATATGACAAATTATCATTGTCATCATCTGCTTTTTTGCCAGCAGGAGAGAGACAAAGAAGTTCTAAAACCCAGCCTTGTTCTTCCCGTCCCTGCAAAATCCTAGATCTGCCAGTGCGTTCCATACTTAGTGCTCCCAGCAGGCAGAAAATCTTGTAGGCAAAGACCACTTTCACGTCATTGCTAATGAATTCTGAACTGCAAATTTACAGAAAAAAATGAGATACAGTTCTCAAGTTCATTCCCATAAGTACACCATGTATTTAGAATTGTATTAATATCTTCTCTGGTGACCAAGAAAATCTTGAAACCAAACGCAACATTAGAACAAAGGTAGAAAGACTTATGCAAGATGATGTGCCTCAAACAAAACATGAATTCTAAATTTGAACGTGCCATCTGTTGCATTTCCACGAAATGCCTTAAAGCCAAACGAACTAGGACCCGGCTAAGTCTAGGTTATCCAAACTAAAACAGTTGATCCTGATTGCATCACTTTAAATGTTTTACGCGTACATCCGAATGAACCGATCTGGGGAGGCTTCTACGAAACGTTTCGGAATTTTGAGCTTGCCGTGCGGTGTTTGGTATTCAATATTATTTAGTTTCATTTCATCGCAGCCATTGTATAAAAAACGATACAAGTCAGGTTGTTGGAACACAATCTTTAAGTTGACTTAATGTTTCTCTTCTAACATTTGACCTCAACTTCCGCCAAATCTGATATAACTGCTGTCCGAATTAGTGGACAAACCGCAGTAAAACGCCCATGGGCCTGTTAGGTTGTAAAAGGGAGCAACTACCCTCTATTTTTGTGTAGATTATGCGTCACTTCTCCTTAAACATACTGCAAATGATTAGATGTATTGTTAGGAGGCTTGCTTCAATAACGGATTGCAACAGTAAAAGGTGAATTTACAGCAATTTGCAACGGTAACCGTGTTGTGAGAAACATAATTGGATTAGATACTACACATATAGATTGGCTTGAGGGAAGATACCGTTAATAGTAAGCATTCGTTAGGATTTGGACAACTGTTCAACAGCAATACCTTCTTATTCACCTGAGGCAATTTGCACTCAATTTATGTTTACCATACTTATTCCAAACCTAACATTCTCACCTTGTTCAATAAGGGGAAACAAATTCCCTCGAGTCGCCACTTCACGTTAACCAAATTCATTGAAATCTTCCGAGTTGAAATCCTATGACGTTCGTGTGGTGTTGTGATCCTTACACGCTTCCGTACTGTACTCTCAGTTTTGATGCTTTCTTGACTCTAGTATCGACTCATTTAGTCTGAAATTAAAAGTTTTTACATAACGAAACTTACATGCTCCAGTCAAGCAAATTTAAGGCTCATTGCGCAGAAACTGGCTTTACGATGAAATATTGCTGTTATGTCACACAGTGTCATGTGCTGCAATTAGAGAAAACAGCTAGTTTACAGAATGTGGTTTTAATGACATTTGTCCTGCCAGCGATAGTATAAGGGGTGGTCACAACATGATTGCATATAAAAAAGGCTGCCAGATTATAAGCTGATGAGGTCGTTGAAGAAGAAAAAAGTTAATCCCATGTTACATTTTTAACACAGAATAGATTTTCATTCAGTTAATATCTGGTTTACTTTGTAAAGTCAATGCAGTCAAACAAAAGAAATGGCTGGAACAACGTCTGAATATCGATAGACATCTCAGGTATGCTCTGCGCAATCTACAGCACGAGATAATTCTTAAGGTTTTTATGTGTCTGCTAAAAACTGTTCACTTTTCAATGTCGTCCTTATTCTGAACCTTGATATTTCACTGGTGTTTAACACGTTCTGCCGTAATGCAGTGGGCCGTGATCTACACTTACATACATGAAGTCGGTTACCGGTTAATAACCCAAGCTTCTCTTGTCAATTCCCAAAGTGATAAAATGAGCAGAAAAAAGTGACTACAAATGACTAGAGACCATTATTTTGTTCATTTTGGGCCCCAAGAAGTCACTGTATCCTTTAATGAGAAATCAAAGCAATTAAAGCCTTATTACCTGCGTCTTGGGAATAACACCGAGAAATATTGCGGAAACGTTACCGCATTATTGGCAAAACAACATTTATTTATTCCTACATGGGTTCCTCAATCAAATGCAATTTGCCAAGCTGTTGTATAGTATTCAATATTGCACATTGACTATAATATCCCATTTAGACTGTAGGAAACAATGAGTGGGAACACAGCACTTGGCATTAATGGTTTTCCTCCGAAGGACACTCTACTAGTATAGTCGACTTTTCGCCCAATCAACATCCCTTACATAAATTTAGATGCTGTCCAATATCCACTAATATGGTATATTCTTCTTCTTCTTTTTTTTTTATTTTGTACCCTTTCAGGTAAGACTTTTTGGGGATTGTACACAATAAAAGTCACAGTTTGGCGATTATCTTTTATCTTCTTTGAATACCATCTTTTTGCTCTCGAACATTGTAATTATTATTGTTACTAATTATATTTCAATTATGATCATTGCCATAATATGAAACATCGTCACTGTGATAAATGACAATTGTTTGCTTTTATCTGTTCGAGGAAAAAAACAGCTCATCTTTTAGATGACAAGCGTACTTTAAACTAACTACTGGAAAAGATATCCTTTGACCGTTTTCTTTATATTGTATGGAGAAAAAAAAAGGAACAGGAAATGGTTAAACATCAAATGTTATAATGGGGTTTGTTGGCAGACAATCAAAGGCGTAAAGACGGGCCAAGATGAAGGCCAAAATTTTGATTAATTCATTTATTATTTAAAAAGGCCGATCATATATGCCTAAATCGTAATCATCATTATTATTATATCAGCGTTATATGGATGAATATTGAGACATTTAGACTGGACCAGTTTCTAAAAGAATTTGAAATTAGAGATCAAGCAGGAAGAGAAAATGTATTTCTTTATTTAAGAATGATAATGAAAACTATTGAAAGGATCACAACAGATTTATCTAGAAAGAGTCGGTAATGTGATGTTGACATATTGGTCTTCAAAAATAATAAAAAATAATAAAATAAAAATAGATAAACAAATAAATAAATAAAAATAAAAAGGTTTAGTGGCAAAATGATGAGCTTAATTTTATTGGCTCTTTCACGCCAGTCATTTACCATCCTTACATGCTAAATAATGCGATTGTCCTTGATGTATTCGTGGGTGTTGGCTTTTGTGTTTTGATATAACTGGTCACTTCTTAAACAAACAATTACTGTCATCGTGCAGCAACAGGGAAATCACAAAAAAAAAAAAAAAAAAAAAAAGAATACCAGCGCATAGCGTTAAATATGCACTGAATCACTCACAGGCACACAATAAATGTCATTGCTTTTATCTACATTCTGAGGCAGGTTCAGGTCATAAAACAGGAATAAATCTAGTTGCTTTTTGCACGATGTTTATTCATTTGGCGAATAGGAGATAAATGCCAGTCGCATTGTCAACTAACAATGCTTGATAGGCGATGATTGATGCAGGTGTTTCTGGAAAGTGGGGGAATACAGTACAGATGACACAGGGGTACTGTGAAGGCGTCGAGGGGGGTACAGTAAGAGTAGCAAGGGTTACAGAAGAAGCTTCAAGGATGTACAGCTAGGGCGATGGTATTAATAAGGGGGTACGTTAGGCGTCATTAGTTCAGAAAAGGCGGTAGGAATGATACAGTATTGGCGTCAGGGGGTACAGTTAAGGCGACAAGAGGAGTAGGGTATGAAAAGCCGTCCGTAGGGTACAGTAATGGGGTAAACACCTTGGCTTTTATTTGCCATCGCGTAAACGGCACGTCACTGAAACGATACTTTATATCGATACTTTGTTAAAATAGAAAGCCGTAACAGATGAGAATCATTACGGTTCAGACGTAATCCCATTTAAACCAGAACCGTTGCTCATTTTTTGGCTAAACATGATGTGTATACTTGATGATGCGATACAAATGTAGTCCGCAGTTATTTTCATCGCTTAGTGGC